ACCTCCTGTAACTGCACAACTGTTCCTGACGCCTATTAGCTCTCTGGTTCCGGGCATCTAGGAATAACTCCCTTGGCTCCTCCCCACTGCTGACATCTGGATTACACACCCTTATGTCCTCCCCACTGGTCCAAGGCTCAGGCGCCTCCTGGTGGCCAACCAGCCTCTCTGCGCCCTGCTCGGAGTTGGAACCCTGTCCAGGGTCCTCCACTTCCTCCAAAGCTGACTCATAGGGCCCCTCGCTGTCAGAGTCTGGTGGAAGCTCCAACGGCTCCTGCTGGGCCACAACACATGAGTAGGTATCTACTTGAAATGTGGTGAAAGCAAATATCCCTGATAAAGCGTACAAAAGTTAAATAAATCCGAGTTTTCAAGATCTATTTCCAAAAGCCTTTTGACAGGCCAAGTTCTAACATAACTTCTAAGCAATTTTTAATTATTTATAGCTGCCTTTAAAAACAATCCTCCTTGGCTTATTTTATATCCTTGTCTGTGGTAACTTGTCAAAATAAATGCACTATTGGTGCTCTTTGAGCTTGGTGATTTCCTTGCAGACAATACATTACCAAACTAGGCAACATAATCGGTGCTGTTATCCAGTTAAATCGCTTAGGATAAACTTCCGCTATATTAGATGATATCCATTAAATTATAATACATTTTTGTACTGGTGTTCAGGCCTGTTGGTGTGCATTTTGGTTCTCTTTATATTTTGCACCTATTTTGGAAGTATTGCATTTAGAAAGTAGCAGAAAGTTAGCTATGCTACTATATCATGTGACATTCTGAAGCAGCTAAATAATATTAATTGAAGCATGGGGCAGGCAACTCAGTTTTTTTAAAAATGGGGTAAAGCAAAGGAAGTATCAAGGCTGTAAAAACATACATGGTGGAATGGAAGATTGATTTATTACTGTAGTGATTCATCTAGAGCAGGGGTCCCCAAATTTGGCGACTTTAAGACTTGTGGACTTCAACTCCCAGAATTCTGGGAATTGAAGTCCACAAGTCTTAAAAGTTGCCAAGTTTGAAGACCTCTGATCTAGAATGTGCTTTTTGTGTTGCATAATTAACTGCTATGCAGGTTGGATTTGAATATTTGTAACCTTATAGTTTTGTAAAGGTTTTTTTTTAATCTCTACTGAAAGAAAAGGGGGCAAAAACTGTGAAGTCCACTTCACATGTGGACTGAAAATGTCATGTGGAGAAAAAAAATGCAAGAGATGGCAGGGACTCTGCCCTCTCTTTCTGCAGTTAAACCCAAGAGGAAGTGAGGTTGGGGTAGAAGGCAAAATGCAAAAATAACAAAGTCCTTTGCTGTAAACTTTAGGGGAGGAAATGTAGTTCAAAATAACAACAGCTAGATTTTCTCCCCTGGAAATTATTTATTATACTTCTCTACCTCACCATAATAACTCTTGGTAGTTTATAAGCTATATAGGCTTTTTTTGACTGCTATTTCCCTTTTTAATTAGGAAATCTACTCATAGTCCTTAGGAAGTTGGCAGCCTTTCAAGTCTTTTTTTTAAATTCATCCAGGTGGCTCTCAGAATCCCAGGATCTTAGGTTTTAAGACTGCCATGAATTTAGTATACAGAGTCCTCACTTAATGAAATTAATTAGAACTGGCAACTCTTACTAAGCAATGTGATTGTAAAGTGCGATGTCACATCACTGTACTGATGATAGCAATTGCGGCAGTTTCTAGTTGCTATTCTTAATTTAATCCCATGCAGTGACAATGGCCAACAATTACGAGAGCCATCACTATTTGCAACCTCTTGCTGGCTTCCCCATTGACTTTGAGGGACACCAGCAGTGAAGGTCACAGATGATGTGACACTGCAATGCTAGTGTCATAATGATCACCTAGATGCCGAGCGCCTAAATTGCAGTCACAGTGGCTGGAAACTATATGACCACATTTACAAGAATCAGTTGCAAGTTCCCCTTGTTCAGCATGGTGTAACTTCAAACTGCCCCATGTTCTTGGGGAATCCTGGGAGTTGCAAATCTGCACATTTTTAGAACTATTAAGATTTGGTAAAGAGCCAGTTTGGTGTAGTGGTTTAAGGCACCGGGATAAAAAACCAGGAGACTGTGAATTCTAGATCTGCCTTAGGCATGAAGCTAACTGGGTGACCTTGTGCCAGTCAGAGACCTGGGAAGGCAAATGGAAAAACGACTTCCAAAATCGTGCCAAGAAAAGTGCAAGGGCTAATCCAGGCAGTCGCCAGAACAAAACACTGACTTGAAGGCACTTTTATTATTTATTTATTTAAATGTTTTATAAATGGCAGGTTACAAACATCAATAATACCACACACACACACACGTGGCATTTTGAATGTTTGTAACCTGCCGTTTATAAAACATTCTTATAATATTTATAAGAATGTGCCTTTTATATATGTGTGTGTGTGTGTGTGTGTGTGTGT